TATAGATAAACCTTTCTTGCTCTCACGATCTCTAGTTGGTTGTCTATTCAATTTTCAGTATGTTTCCTTAATGTGTCTCGGTTTGCCACAATAGTTACAATGTCATTAGTCTTTGGATTGGTAAGAAGAATGAGTAACTAATGCAGCCTTTTTAACATATGCTATTCGAAGCATGATATTTTTTCTACTTTTTTTTTACTGAACATAAGTATAAGTCTGTTGTAATGAGGGAAAAAGATCCTTATTAAACATTTATACCCGTATTTGATCATATTTGATGTTTGGGGTAGCTAAAAAATCATAAATTCACTCATTCTCTATCAGGTTTTGGAATTTGACTGCATTTTCAGCGCAATCTGTTTATAAATTTTGATAGTAATATAGCTTCTGATATAGTCCACTTAGCTCAAAAAAATATTAAAAAATAGTTATTCTCCTTACTTTGTATAATAAACTTTATTTCGGAGTTCAAATATTTGAGTATTATTACCCACTTGTGAGTATGTAAGAGGTATTGTATTCCTTATTTTTTCTCCAGTATGAAGTAATAGATATGTTCGAAGAATGTGAGGTTGTATGGAATTGATGAGTTAAGACATTATCAAAGAGTTTTCAAAATCCCATTTGTTATAGTTCGAATTAGCGACTTATGCTTTCTTAATATCATCAATAATATAATTCTGCAATCTTCTAATTTTGATAAACAAGAAATATGATTTTGATCAAGTGAGATAATTATTTCCATCAAGTTTTATGAGATTAATTTGTAATGAGGGGTTATTCGAATTAGAAACAATCAATTTTTTTACTTCTGTCATTTTTAAAGTAATTAGAAATAGTGAAAGAACATCTAATAACTAATTTCACAGGAAAAGATCAGATTTTATAACTTGTATTAATAGAGTTGGAGACAACAGGATTGAAAAAAGGAAACATATTGTGAATTCGGAGGCGGTTGCCAGAAACAACCCAGTCCGGCGAGAAACCGGTGGCAGAAGCGGTGGCTTGGCTCAACAAGCAGATGAACCAGATCGGAATAGCTCGGCGTGGGGAAGGACCAGATCGGGACGACTCCTTGGGTAGTGGAATGTCCAAATTGACAGAGAGCTCTGCGCGCAATGGCCATGTGAAAACTTGGCGCGATTTGAGATAGAGAGCCGCGATTTGAGCTGAATCTTGAATGATCAGCTGAAAATCGGTCTCGATCAGGGTGTTTGACTGTGGTGCGACACGATTCGAGCCGGATTGGGGAAAACCTGGAGGTGCGTGTGGCTCACACGCTTGAGAAATGATCACTAGCATTGGCGTAGGTCGATGGTTAGGCTGCAATTCCGTCTGTGGTGGTGGTTAGAGTAGATCTTAATAGGTAAATACCAACTCAGCCTATTGTGCTATTATAGCGTTTGAGAGAAATTTTAAAATTAGAACTTTAAAACATTTTTATTTGACTCTGATACCATAAAAACTTTTCGAGAGGAAAAATAATTAATTTTATTTTTTATACATCTTGTGATATTACAAGCAAAGTATATATACAGATTTTTTATTTACAAATAAAAAAAATTACATTGTTGTAGGAATCCTTATTGATTTTAATTAATTGCATCATTATATAAAAGATTATGAGAAGTATTGTAGGGGAAAATATCTCAACTAATATGACAACACAATTTTTTGGTCAACATAAAGACATTGAGAATATTTAAGATCTTTTACTACCTACAGCGAGTTTTATAGAAGTTCAATTCAAGGAGGAATCTAAGCCAATAATTGGGACTAATAATGTTCAGCACATGATGAAGTGCAATTGCAAATTGCTCAATATTTTGATTTCATGTTCTCCCATGGGATTTCGTACTCATCAACAATTATGTACTTCTACTATATTTGTTGTTAGAGAAAATAACCAAGGAAAAAATTTGTTAAATTTTCATAAGGAATCTCAAGGATCAATGTTTTATATCGTTTGCCAATTCAAATCTAGTGGAAGTGTTTTGTCAAATCAGATAGAATAATGCAGAATGGACTAGCGCTAGATTTTTTAAATAAATCAGAAATTGTAATTATATTAGATATAAAACAACTATACTATCCAACATTGTATTATTATATTAATTAAAAGTATTATTATGGTTTTAGTAACATAGACTTTTTTTCTTATTAGTATATTTATTGTTTTTATTAAATCACTTTTCCTAATTTTTCTAATTTACTATTTCTTGGTTTAATTTTATATGGCAAATACTACTTCGGAATCACTAGAAATAGCTTTGTGACGTCACTTATTGGGGCATTCAATTATTCAATAATATTTCAATAGTTTCTTAGCTTTCGAGTTGTGTGATACAATCAAACTTTTAAATGTGATTATTGTAGTTTTAGTAACTTAAACTTTTCTTCTTATTAGTATATTTACTATTTGTATTAGAATCAGTATTACTAATTGTACTAATTTACTCTTTCTTGGTTTAATTCTATAGGGGGAAGACTACTTAGGATTCATATAAATAGCTTTATGACTTCACTTATTGGGGCATTCTATTATGCAATAATATTTCGAGAGTTCCTTAATTTTTTATTTGTGTGATGCAATCAAACTCTTAAATATAATATTTAAGATTTTTTGGATGTGCCCCCTAAAGAACGTTATGTGAATCAAACTCTTAAATATATCGTCAACCACATATTTGTGGTTGACGATTGGCACTCTCGGGAGATCGTCCATGCACAAATTTATGTATTTAAGCTTTCCCTTGTACTCAAATATGTGAAGTAATCTATCAGAAATATTTTCATACACTTTTAGTCTCCCTTCCTCTCTCACTCTCCCTCGGTGTTCTTTCTCACCTCTCTATGGTATTCTTTTCTCTCTCCCTCTTTCAATTTTAAGATTCTGTTTCTGCTCTCTACCGAACTCATATTTTTCTCTTAATGTTTTAGTTTAAGTGCGAGTACATGTCACAGGTTCCTGACACATAACTAAATTTGTTACATTGTCCCATACAAACAAAGATACTTGTGAAAGACAGCTCTGTGCTATTATCAGTTTGGAACAATTTAACTTTTGCATCCAATTGTGCACAGATCATTGTAGGATGACTTAAAACAAGAAAATACCTCTTTTTTGCATGCAAAGGACTAACCATAGTCACACTGTTTTGACCATATTTTACTTTTGTGGCTTTCTAAAATCTAGCAGATGTTTTTTTTTTTGAGATAAAAGTAAGTGAATATTATATAAAGGACGCCAAGGGGTGGTAACCCATGTGCATGTAAAAAGTAATTTATATATCTGTAGTATATTTATAATAGATCCAAAATCCTCAAAAGAATCAAGGTTGTGACCTAGTACAATAAATCAAAAAAGTGGAGCCACCTATCCCTGATAATGGCAAAGTTAGTTTCTTTACCATAAAAAATCCTACAGTTTCTTTCTTTCTATATAATCCATAATATTGTTATAGGAATTACTCTATGCCACTTGTTGCTTGTCTTAAGTTAATCCCAAGCAAGGATTTCACCTTTAACAGACCCAGACATGACCCACGAAATGCCAAGTGGTTTGTTAATCATAGTCTAGAGCTTATAAGAGATCGGACACCAGAGAAGTAGGTGGTTTGCAAGATTCTAGGTTCTGCCTACATAAAACACACCAATTGGCCAACACAATTCCTCTTTTTATAAGGTTGTCTAAAGTAAGTATGGATCCCTTAGCAGCTTCCCATGCAAAAAACAAAATTCTAAGTGGAACACAAGAGTTCCATATGGTTTTATAAGGATAAAAAGAACTGGATTCAGAGCTGTCCATGAGAGATCTGTAAAGCGACTTGACAGAGAAGACTCCTTTCTTACTTATGTTCCCGGCTTAATCTGTTTCTCTCAATACCGAGTTTGATATTGTTGGCCAAAATCTGAAGCAGCTTTTCATATTCAACCACCTCCTAGTCTTTCAAGTTTCTAATGACAGTCACATCC